TTAGAACTTGTAATCTTAATGCTTTCTAAGAAATAATGCAGCTTCTAGTTGTGACCTGTTAAGCAGATGCAATTTGTTAAATGTCTGGCAATCTTGCCTACCATTCCTCATGAAGTTTAAGCCAGAGACACATACTAGCATCCCCCAGACATTGACTTGCACCTGCTCTGTGTCAAGTGTAGTCGCAGATGAGGGTGGAAATTAAATGTGGTCTCTGTCCTCAAGAAACTTGTGTCTTGGAGTCTTATGCTTCTGGTCTCTTCAGGTCATCACCTCTGAGATCTTCAGACCATCAGGCCAAGCTTGGAAGAAAGGCGTCCACATCAGGTGATGGAAATGGTGTGGCTAAAAGGGTGGTTCCTAGATCACTCATGAATTCCAGGTGGACCCTCTAGCTGCAGAGATGAGTAAATGAACCAACTTAGAGATCAGCCCTGATTTACATCAGCTCAGTCAGTATGTCTAAAGAGGATAAATGGAATGGAGAAGCATTCCTCACGGCAAAGAATGGCAGTTCCTCTGGAATCATAAGTTGTCAAAGCTGGAAGGGACGTGTAGTCAGCCTCTCATTTTACACAGAGGGGAACTGAGACCCAGGAGAGGAAGAGGCTTGCTCAGGTCAAAAAGAGAGGTGGGGGAAGACTCCATGCAAGCATGTGAAAGAGAACAGTTAATTGGTACTTTGTCCTGGAAGGCGTTTGGACATTTAACAGCAAGGCAAATGCATGTCTGTGTAGTCTGGCTGTGCCATCTCTTCAAGAGTCCTCAGCACAGGGGATGGCACAGAGTAGGCGCTCAAACACTTAGTGAGTTAATTACGCATCGTGGAATCACAGTGGCCATTACAGTCTGACAGACCTGGGTGTGAGTCCCAGTTCTGTCACTTACTAGGCATGTGGCCTGGGGCAAGTTGTTTCACTTCTGAGACTGTTTCCTTATCTGTGAAATGTGGTGATGAGTGTATATGTATATCAACACACCACATTCCTTTAAAACAGTATTTTACAAGGGTCTAAACCCCCAGCATGGTTCCTGGCACATGCACTTTTGGCGGTAGGTGGGTTGAGGGGAGATACTTATTTCATTTCATGTTCCATTGTAGAAACTATCATTAGGACTGAGCTGAAGCATCAGTATCGAAGACGGTGACAATCTGGGTTTCATCTTTGAAAAATACCTAAACTAAAAAAAAAAAAAGAAACAGTGTCCTTGTGATTTTTCCAACTCTGTCATTGATCCATTCATGTCCCGCCCCCACTGCTTTTTCCCTGTCTCACCCTTTGCCTCAAAGAAAACTAATGGAGCCATATAGAAAGCTCTAAGATATAACTGACCTTGCGCACCTTTAATTGAGGACAGAATTTGCTACAGAGCATCCAAACCCACCAGTGATTTACTTTACAATCTGTGTCCTGGCTAGACTGGCTGTTGGCTGTATAATTTGTCTACTTTTGTCTGGAGTCTTAGACTATTCAGCTGCTTCGGGGCAAAATCTTTTAGGGTGTCTTTAAATGGGATTGATAATTGGCTTCTGATGAATATTCATTGTGACTAATGACTTTGGGCAAATTTTACGCATACTATCTTTCTGTTCTCTCACTGAGTGAGATTTTGATAGGATCGTTTTCTTCAACTTGCACTTCAATTACATATTCACAGTACCCCTTTGTTGACTACTACACTGCAAATTATATACTTCCATTATTTTTAAATTGTGTGTTCCGTAAGGAATCAGCCTAGTCCTTTACAAGCTTTCTTTTTAAAAACCTGATTCAGAGTTATTTTTAAAATAAGCGGTTGGTCATACATTACAGGGCATGAGACATCACTTCTGGTTAAGTATAGGTAGAGTGTAAGGCTTTTCTTATAATCAACTTGCCACTTTGGTTAAGTGACAATGCACAAAGTTTGTGCCATTTAGTATTTTGAAAAAAAGTTAAGCAATTCCCTGTTTTGTTTTGTTTTAAACAAATGGGTGAATACATTTTACCCCAATTGCAGAGATTTGGCCCTTAGGAAACTCCCCCCCCCCATGAAATGAACAAACTTAAAAGCTTGATTTTTTTTTTTAATGAGGGATAAGTAATTTTAAAAACTTAGCATTTAGGTTGGTCATTTTTTTTTTAAAGTAAAGAGACATGAAAAGAATATTTTCTGAAGATAAGATCTCTGCTACTTTATTGGCTGAAATAGGATTTTGATCCAAACTAATTTAAGCTAAAAGAGTGAGGTAATCCAGGTTTCTATCTCAATCAGGACCATTCTAGGGAATAACTTGTGATGATGTTGCCTTACATTTGTATGGCACCTTATAAGATTTTGAAGTGCTTTTATTTATTTGATGTGTTTTTGATTTAGAGTAGGCAAATTATTGAAGGAATGAATGACTTGTTTTCCAAAAGTGGCATATTTGTGTGTTTAAGCATGCCATTATTTTGGAATATGAGTTATATACTCACTCTCTGAGACTTGTGAAAACGTTGCAATGATGTTAAAAAGTCACTAAACTATCTTTGTATTGTGAATATACTCTAAGTATTGTTTTTTATTCAGGACACATCACATTGCCTAGCACGTGCATGTGCATTTATTTGTTTATGTATGTTTGTATTTATTTATTTATGCTGTGCCACTGAGGACATGGAAATGAACAGAGACAGGGTCTTTTTTGTACTTTACAGTCAGGGGACAAACATGCAGACTGTTACAGACCACTTAATAATGGGGCTATGCCCAGGGGAGCCAAGTAAGGCTTCCGAGAGGAAGCTAGTGATTATACAGAGACCTGATATGGGACTTTGCTAAAGGTGCATATCCAGGCCAGTTTAGGGGACAGGTGGAAAGAGAAGGGAGGAGAAGGAGTACATAATTCTTCCTAAATCTGCAACAGATTTATTCTGTTGGTAAACTTGGAGAAGGCAGTAAAGAGTGTGGCTGGAGATGCTGCTCTAAAGCTGACCAGAGCTGGTGGAGATATCCTGTGCCACACGTGCCCAGGGAGTGATGTGACCTGCTCAGATGTCTTCAGGGGCGCATGTGGCACAGGATGTCTCCACCAGCTCTGGTCTCCTTTAGAGCAGCATCTCCAGCCACACTCTGGCAGCTAGTTACAGGGTAAGCAGGAGAGCTGAGGCTGGGCCCAGTGGAGCCCTCCAGCCTGACTTCAGGGAGGCATCAGGGAAAGTTGGTTCATCCCCTGCTCACTCAGTACCAGCAAGGAGTTTTCATCTCTAAGAAACCCTGCAGGGATTGGCCATGTGTATACATGACAGTGTGTTTTACACAGGAACCTACCAAGCTAGATTGGGCAGGGAGAGACTAAACCTGGGAGCCTCCGTGGAGTCCCTGGGAACAGCTCTTGTGCGCTTGCTGGAGTGTTTCCTGTTCATGGTCTGTCCCTGATTTCAGGAACAGGGTCTGGAGGGAAAAGGGAGGGGCAGGGGAGGGCAGTGGCCCTGGCTTTAATACACAGCTCTCACAACTGTGAAACATCAGCAGAATATCCAATTTAAAGCTGTTCATGTTACACTAACCTCTGGGATTCTTTTAACTGGGCCTTGGCACATCACTCTTTCGCCACGTAAATGTCCTTCTGTCAGCAAAGGCCAGTTAACAGCTTCCAAAAGAAGGAAGGTCCTCATGGGAACAGGCTTCCCTGAAACCAAAGAAACATTAAAGAAAAAAGGCAGAAAGAAACATGTGTTGTTGGCTTTTGTCACTTCATAGCGGTGTCTCCAAAGGTTGATTTTTTTTTTCCCTTTTCTTCACTACACTGAATTCTGTAGCAATTGTATCTCTTTATCCTTGTTTCCTAAATGTTTAATTGTATCAAATACTGATTGTATGATACCTCTAGCTCTTAAGGAATAAAGGGTATACAAAATAGGGACATGTCAGAAAAATAGGGAGAGGAAGGATTAGTCAGTAAACAGCGGCAGACCAATTGATTAACTATGTGGAAAAAATAAATTCTCACCTCAGTTCTTAAACCTAAATTAATTCCAGATGGATTAAAGAGTTACCTACTGGAGAAAATGTTGGCGGACTTGGGATAAAAGCAGTAGAAACTATTGTGAAGGAGATTTGTCTACCTGATTTCATCCAGAAATTCAAAGAAAATTAAGGATAAATTATTTTTAAAAAACATGACAAAGGGTGGGTATCTTAGCATCTCACCAATGACTACTTATAAATCAATAAAAGATTTCTAATACTCCATTTTTTAAAAATTTACCTATTTACCTAAGGAATAACAAATATGTAATAGAACGTTCACCTTCATGATCAGAGCAATTAAAACTGAAATAAGAAAGATACAATTTTCAAACTATTAATGCCTGTAACTGCAGTTCTAGAGAGGGGCAGAGTTATGGTGTGTGGCTAGGGAGAGCTGAGGAGGCTCCATCCTTTATTTATTATATCAAGATATTCATGATATTTATATATTTATGAAGTACCTTAAAAATGTAACCTTTGTCTCTGAACTCTACTTCTAAGAACCGTATATTAAATTTATTGACCTCATGTGATTGTATAATTTAATGATAGAACAATAGTTTAAAATAGTATGGGAAATTCATTAAAAGGTATTTTTGAAGATGTGAGACAATGGCTTCAAAATGTTAACTTTTAAGAAAGCAAAAGAATGCTATATTTACAGTACTCCTAGTTTTATTAGAAAAGGAAAATATAGATGCTATGTGTGTAATACCCTAAAATGTTAATTGTCAGATGGTGGTGACTTATTTTCTTTCATTTTTTGTTTCCTAAATTTTCTGCTGTAAGTATGCATTACCTTTATAATCAGGAAAAAAATAGGTTTTTTTATTTTCAAAGAGCAAACTCTTACTTAAGGATGATTGAATTAACTTAAAATTATTTCTTCAGATATTTCAGCTCATTTTAAATATGCTGATGAATATGTATTTATTGCTGCCATCAATAACTGTTCCTCCCTTTGATTCTTTACACTCTGAGTCTCTGATTTGCTTCTGTTGCAGCTGACGGCCTGCATCCACGGGGCTGCCGCCATGCTCTACCCCATGTACTGGCAGCACGTGTATATCCCAGTGCTGCCCCCGCATCTGCTGGACTACTGCTGGTAAGGCTGTGCTGAGCTTGGCCTCTGCTTTTCCTTTCCTGGGAAGTGACCGGGCATGTTAGGTCTATAAGTTGTAATAACATTGCCGTTGGTGACTCTAAATTAAAAATACTAATTTCAAAATAGCAGCAGTTTTAGACCACCCAATTGCACAGCCTTTTTTTCCCCACAGTTTTCATCTATGTCATGACATTCTAAAACATTCAAGACAATAGGTGATGCTTTTCCCATTCCTCAGTTTGGGGGAAACCAAAGCACCGGGAGGTTGTGTGCTTTTTTGAGTTTTTTTTCCCCCCCAAAGATAAATTGGAAACTGAGGACAAGAACAATTGAGATCCCCAAGTTCAAGTTTCAACAATGCCCTGGCACGTTCCTTAAGACTTGCTGTCAGCTGTGGTTTGGAGGTACGAGCCAGACAAAGCAAAACCCTCTGAAGTTTTTTTGATAATTTCACTGTTCAGTGAAATGTGTATTGGTGGAGGAAGAAGGGAAGGCTTTGGAGTCCGCTCTACCACCTTGGGCAAGTCATTTGGCTTTAAAACTTTGTTTCCTCATCTGCAAAACAAAGTTGTTAAATACGTAGTTGTATAAGATGAATCGAGATAACAGAAGGACCTCAAGTAGAAAAGGTGGCCGATGCTCAGTGTTTCTGCAGAAGCATCATCATCCTCCCTGGAGGTCTTCAGTGGATTACTGAAGAAGATTGTGGGACTGGTTTAGAGCCATTTTCCTTATGAATAATTTCTTTCTCTGGTTTAATGTGATTAAAGACATTGTCTCCAAACAGCTCAAGTGAGCAGAAGTCGATAAAGGAACACAGTGTGTGTATAGGAAAAGGCACTAACTGCCTGCCAGAAATTTGGAGCTTCAGGGGAAAAGACCCATCTGAGGGGTTACTGCCCTGTTTCTTACAAACAGATGATTCAGGACATTTACCATTGGTTCAGAGTGATTTAGTCTAGGTCAGTACATTTTTGCTGTGATCTCTAGCCTGTTTTGCAATCATCTCACTGAAAAAGTTCACCTGGGTTGGGTAGCCAAATTGTCCTAGGAGCTTAAAGGCATTCCAAGGCACTCCTAATTTGAATTTGTCGAGCTCCTGCTCTTGAGAAGCCATAGGTATAACAAGACATAGTTCAAGGCTATCAAGTAGAAGTCAGTGGCCCTCTCTTGTGCACAGAACACTAAATGAATTGGACCAATTCTTTCTCATCAAGGATGAGATATTCATGCCTCTCTCCTATGAGATAAAGGGACAGCAGGTTTCTGCCATGGGGGGTATATAATCCTGGCTTATTTTAAGTCTCCTCTTGATTCATTAGGTAACTGGGCCTCACGTTTTGTTCACTGTATCTTTTTATACCTTGGTTTATGAGTATTTTGGAAATTATTCTTAGTCAATGGTGACTTCCAGATTTATTTTTCATCCCTTCTGGAATAGATAGGTAAATTTTGTAGATAAGAAAAAAATAAAGTTATAAACTTCTTATAAAAAATTAACTTTATTATATGAAATATTAGTGTTTCTTATTTTTCCCAGGATGCATTTTCTTTTCACTCCTTTTTTTTTTTTTTTTTTTTTTTTAGCTAGAGTCTTACTGTGTCACCCTAGGTAGAGTGCCATGGTGTCATAGCTTGTAGCAACCTCAAACTTTTGGGCTCAAGTGATCTTCATGCCTCAGCCTCCCAAGTAGTTGGGACTATAGGCACCCACCACAATGCCCAGCTAATTTTTCTATTTTAGTAGAGATGGGGTCTGGCTTTTGCGCAGGCTGTCTTAAAAACAGTCCACCTGCCTCAGCCTCCCAGAGTGCTAGGACTACAGGTTCACACTGTGCCTGTTCTCTCCGGGAGCATTTTCAACCCAGGGCCCATGCCAGACACCCTCCCCTGTATAAGGTTTTCCAGTATCTCCCCTTTCCTTTGGGACTCTTGGGAATGAATGCTCAAGTCCTTCCAAGCAAAACTGCTCCTCTGCTCCCAGGCAAAGATTGTTAGATTACTGTCCCCCACGGCCGTGGCCTGGTGCACACTCCACTCTGCCATTTGCCTCCCAGCACAGCACTTAGGAACCTTCATCACCTCCCTGTCACTGTCATCTGCTTGTCTCCAGGGTCCCCATCGCTGCCTATTCAGACGTCCACATCTCCTTTCCATCTTACTCCCTGCCACCCCCTTAATCCCACTGAGGTCACATTTGCTGTATTTTGTCATCTACAGAGAGGTTACCTCCCTCCCTCAGAGAGACCAGGCCGTAGTGCAACCATGGATGGGGCCAAGAGGAGGACATCTGAGGCCCTGTCTCAGCTTCATTATTGCCTAGCTGTGTAGCTTAGAGCAAGTGACTCTGCCTCTCTGGATCTCTTTCCTTATGTGTAGAGGACTAAAATTGCTAGAGCTTATTCTTTAAATTATTTCCAGGATGAAATAAATTAATGCTATTCAGAAGCACTGTGCAGACTGTGCTATCAGCCACCCAGCTGGGTGGCACACCTGTCATCAAACCGTCCCCTCTGAGTCGGACTGCCTTCTCTTTAGCTGCCTCTCCTCCCGCCTTCTTCTGACTAGCCTGTGTGTGTGTTCACCCTGTCTGCCCCCCTCGCCTCCTCCTTGCTCTCTCTTACTTCTGCCTCTTAACTAACCTCTTGCTTTCCTGCTTATTCCAGACCTGTGTGAGTTTTGTCAGTACAGCACATGTTTGCTGATGCTTGGCCTGTCCCAGACACTGTGCTAAGTGCAGGGAAGACAGAGAGTTTGTCTCAATCCAAAGGGACTTAGAGAACTGGGTGTAGAAGACGGGCACACCAATGGATCATGTGCCCACAGGCTGTAAGATCCACAAGCAAGGAGCTGTTCCAGAGTTTTCCACCAATTTCCCAGGCCTTGCCAGTGACCCTGAGCACCCTGCTGTCTTACCTGCTCCTTGTCTGGCAGATTCTGCTGGTGAAAGTCTGAAACCCACTGCAGAGAGGTCCCACTAGAAAGCGATGCTGTCTGACCTTGGCTTGCCCTCCTCTTCTATAGCCATCGTTAAGCCCTCACTCTTGTGCTCCCAGGCTCAGGGTTGGGGATGCATTTTGTCTCTGGCAAAAAGAGAGACTATAAGTCTCTATTCCCACACGGGCCTCCCTCCTTGCCCCATGACTCGCTACCTGCTGCCAGCCTGGTTCTCTTACTTTCCTACCAGCCCGAAGGAAGGAAGAGCGGGCTGTGAACAGCCACTGGTTTCACCTGGGCCCAGGTTCTATCTCCTGAGGATTCAGTGGGACCTGGCTGATCTTGGTTCTCCCAGCTACCTTTATATTCTCCTTTCCACCACCTCCCTCCTCTCCCAGCAAATGTGCTCAGGTATCCCATTCATTCCTCAAACTTTGCTCTTCTTTTTGAGCTTCTGAGCTAACTGTCTTGGGGTTTTTTCACTGCCATGTATCACAAAGGAAAGGACAGCGGAGACTGTGTTTGCTATGCAGCAATTTTTTGTTGTTGGGATGAAAGGTGGGGGCCTGGGCAGTGGCCCTCAACGATGCTCAGAGAGGAGGGGGATGAGGGGAGCCAGAGGGGAAGGGAAACAACAAAACGCACACCAGAGGAAGATGGAAGGGAGAGAGAGCTGAGAGAGAGAGATAGAAAAGATAGGAAAAGGGAGAAAAGGGGAGCTATTCCCCCACGGCAGACTCAGTAACACCCAGCGCTCTTAGCGTGTAGGACTCACTGCCACCCCTTCTGCCCCACAGACCTACAATACCCATATAGGCACAAACCCGCACACAGACACCTGTCCCCCTTCACTGACCTGGGTTCCTTCCCACAGACATGTGCCTCAGTGTCCCCACGTGGAAAGAGACGCATAACTCCGTGAACTCTACACCCCAGATATGTGCTCCAAAGGGGAGCCTCAGAGTTCCCCCGAGAAGAGACTCACCTGTGGGTCCTCCTGCCACACTTCAGACAGGAGCGCAAAGGGGCTTCTGTGCTCAAGGGTCAGCAGAGCTGGGGGAGTCAGGATAGCTCCTCTGCCAAATAGCACAACTTGAGCTTTCTACTGTTTGGACAGTTTCACTTGCTAAATTGTTAGCTAGTTTAAAAACAGCAGCTATAGTCCCAGAACTGTAGAGAGCAAAAATGATAGTGACATCACTGATAATAATAGCTGCCATCATTGAGCATCTCCAGTCACCGGACTGTCTCCTTCCCATCTGTGATCTCATTGAAATCTTCCAACAACCCTGCAAGGCAGATATTATTAGCTCCATTTTATAGATCAGTAAACCAAGACCCCCAGAGCTTCAGTAACTTGCTCCAGTACAGACATTATGTATGTATGATTCCATTTTTATTTAAACAAACAAGAATTATATGTATATGTATACATAACTCAGAAATTCGATGTATATGTCTACATATAGAGAGGCAGAAATCTGGAAAGAAATACACCAAAATGTTTAACAGTAACTTGTGACGGAAGCAGAGGAGTTCTGCATGCTTTTTATTTTATTTTCCATATTTTCAAATATGTTTACAATGAAGAAGTATGGTTTTTATAATTGAAAAGCTTTATTTTGAAAACTGAATGTTTATTCTAGCCAATTGTTCTCTCTAGCTGCCATCTCTCCCTCCTTGTTTTCTCAGAGGATTTATTAGATGTTTGGCTCTCCTGTGAAAACTGCTCCAAAATCTTTTCAACATTATCTCTCACTCTAGCACTTTCAAGGACTGTGCCACCAGCCTGACTGAGAGCAATGATGTTGGCAGGGCTAACTTAGAAGGGGAGATTTAGCGAGGAAGGCTGCTAAGCCCTTGTCATCCCAAATTTCCACTCCAAAAATTTGAAGCTAAGATTTGTATTTACCAGTGCCTCGGTGGGTTTTGTGAGGAGGCTCCATATTGGAACTTTCTGTGTTTATGTAATGGTCTCTTGTTTTCATGAAAGAACTTTTTGACATACAAACCGAAGGATGATTATAGGCCAGTGGGGTTTGGTATCTAACTACAAGATGTAA